GGGGGCGGGGGAGCCCCAAACCCATGGCCAGGGAGGCCCGGGCAGCCGAGGGGAGCGAGCAGCTCGGCTCTGCGTCCCGCCGGCCGCTCTGCTCCCCCTCGGCGTGCTGCCTTTGGGGCGAGGAGGAAACGAGCTGAGCTCTCCCGCTCCCTCTGCAGCCGTGGCGATCGCGGGGAGAGGAACAAACCACCTGCAACCCCCGGCTGCTCTGCCCACACCCCAACTTCCCCATCAGTCTGAGCAACAGCCCTGTGCGCACCCGGGCCAGGGCAGTGACCCGAGGAGGGCAAGGAAGGACAGCCCCGCTGCGAGGCTGCTCCTCGTGCGAGCAGGGCCCTGGATGAGGCTGGGAGCTGTGACACGGTGACACGGTGCACGAGCAGGGCTTCCCCTGCCAGGGGACACAAGGCAGGCGAGCAGGGAGATGAGCCAGGCTGCAAAATGCCAGCATGGATGCGGGGAGCCTCGGCCTAGCAGAAGGAAGACCAGGACTTGCTTGCTTGCAGCAGAGGTCGAGGGGACAGGGACAGCAGCCAGGAGATGCAGCAGAAACCACCTTTCCACCCTCCGGGGTGCCAGTCCTGAGCACAGAGCAAAGGCAAGTGATGGAAGAGCAGCAGTGAAGTGGGACAAGCATCAAGTGGATGGTCTCCAGCAGCAGCAAGAGCTGAGCAGCAAGGGGTGAAGAAAGGAAGACAGTGCAAGGAAACCTGCTGGAAGAGGATGATGGATTTAGGCGGGGGAAGCCAACCCACCACCTGCCTCCGAGCAGGATAAGACTTGGAGGCAGGAATGGCAAAGGAGCAGGAGGCAGCCAAGCACCAGGCCAGGGCTTGCAACAGCAACGAGGCGGGAGCGCAGCGAGGCCGGGGACTCCTGTCCCGAGCAGGCAGAGGGAGCACGACTCCGCAAGGCCCCAGGGAGGCCGCAGGAGGCTCCCAGGGCACGGCTAACCCTGCCAACAGAGGGAGCAGGGAAACTCCCGCAGGAGAGCACTGAAACACGGAAGATGATGGAAAGCCGAGAGGGAGGCATGCCCTGAGCCCGCTCTCCATGGGAGGCAGAGCCAGAGAGACCGGGTACCCGTCACAACGCCGGGACAACCACGTGGCTGTGTGGGGAGAACTGAAGCTCTCTGCTGTGGGACAGAAGCTGTATCTGCTGGACGTGGATGAACATGTAGAGCTGCAGCCTGATCCCTGCGTAAACCCCAAAAGCAACAGCCTGAACTCCGCAGCTAGCACCGAGCTAGAGAAACGGGGTGAAACAGAGAAAGCAGAATGTCCCCAGCCCTCAGGAAACCCGAGCCCCAGCGTCTCCAGATCAGAAAGGCGCAGGTCAAGACGGGGAAGTTGCCGGGGACGCGGCGCTGAGCTGGCGCCCACGCGGCCGCGCCGGGCGCTCGCGGCGCTTTCCCTGGGGGCCCTTCCGCTTCTGCGGCCGCCCGGTCAGTGCCAGGGCGGGGAGAGCAGCGGGGCCCGCGCACGTGTTCCGCTCCGGGCTCTTCCCAGCCGGCTCCGCGCTGCGTGACTTTCCCAAAGCCCCAAGGACTTCTCCTCCGCCCCGGCTCCGAGCGCACCTCGGCTCTCAGCTGTGTGCAGCCCCCACACCCTCGCGATGACCTCTCTCCGAGCCCCGGCCCCGGCAGAGCCGGGGAGGAAGGGAGGAGCGCGGGGAGAAAACCCTGCACGCCCCAGGCAGCCCCTGCTCTCCCTGCAGAACGGGCAGCGCCGCTCCCGGGGGCCCCGCTGCAGCTGGGCCGGCCGCCGGGGCCGGGATCTGCACGCGCTGCCCTCCCTGAACATGTGCAGTTCCTGTTTGCTGTGTCTGTACAAGGCAGTGGGAAGTGGGGAATTTACTTACACCTCCCGCTTAACAACCCTGGGAGGCTGGAAGGCTTCAGGCCGCTTTAATTTACAGCCCATCTCTCCAATCTCTCACTCGTTCGCTGCTGCTTTCTTCCTTATTGTATTAATGTGACCCAGGTACCTGCCAACAATAATGGACTTGCTTGTGGGGGCGGCCCCTCCCTCCCGGCACAATTTATACCTTTGCCTTGATATGAATTGCTCAAAATTCAAATGAAGAAAGAAAAGGCGAAATCTGCAAGGTTGGGGTGGGTTTGGAAAAGTGAAGCGCAGTGGTTCTGGGCCCGGCGCCAATAGCCGGAGGGTACACATGTGCGCGCTCTCCCAGTAGGGCCTTCAGCAGCCCTGTTTTACAACCACCTCGGCACACACTGTAGAGTTCACGCATATGGCCAGACAGATGTGTCTGGCTTACGTTCAAGGCTGGAAAATGAAGAATTATGGAAGTGAAGGGCCCTGGGCATTAGAGAGGGCGGAGGTGAGGGGGAGGGGAGCCAGGGAGAATTTTCCTCTGCTGAGAAATCCTCATCTGGGCTGCGAGGCTGGAGGAAGAGGGGTTGAGAGGGAGCAAGGCAGCCAACAGCCATGCATGTGAGTCTGCTCTTAAAGCAACAGCATGCACAGCCAGGCATCTGCTCCCAGCGCGACCAGTTTAGGTCACTGCTTCCCACTGGGAAACGTCCTGAGATTGGGTTGGGGTCAGGGTGGGATCACCTGCATCCCCTTCTGCATCCCCTTCTTCTCCCCCATGGCGATGGCAACAGCGGAACACGCTCTGCAGTCAGTGCTCCGATGGCAAGAGCCGTTTGCAGCCGATTTTTCCTGCCTCTGACTCCCACATGAACTCTGCTGCTCGTGTCCCACCCTCTCCCCTGTCTGCCCGTGCCCTGCTGCACAAGAAAGCTGATTTCTCAGCCAGCCTCAGCATTGCAGTGACCGTGTCTCAGTCAGGGGACAGTTGGCACATGCAGCACTGCAGACATCAGTGGGCTCCCTGGGGTACTGCTCCATGCAGAAGGGGTGCCCCAGTTCAAGAGGGCTCCCCAGAGTCCCTGATACACTTAGCTCAGGGCTTGGGAGGGCAGGGCTGACCCCGGCGTAAGGGTCCCACCCTGGGGTGATTCAGCAACACTCATTTGACCCCGTCCACCGAAGCCAAAGCTAAGGCTGCAGCTGGGTTTCAAAGAGGCAGCATAGAGCACCTGCCCCTGGGGAGTTCAAGGTGCCTATGTGACATTCCCAGAGGCCACCACTTTGGAAGCATGGCAAGAAACACCTGAGCACCACCAAGAGAGTGAGACAGGATCAGCCCAAGTACAAAAGCAAAGTAGCTCCTCGGGCAGATGGACGCGCTCGCTGCAGCCGCACACCCCGTCCTACCTGAATCTTGTCTTGGCGACGCTGCTGCTCAGCTACTTTCCTGGCCAGTGCTTGCTTCTTGGCTCTGAGTTCCTTGATGTCAAACTCTCCACCGCTGCCTTCAGCCTCAGAATCATCTTCAAATGCCTCAATCAGGACATCATCTTCCTTCTTCCAGGAAATGCATAGAGACAAAACGGAGAGAGAAGTAACTGTAAAGGCTGCTGGTGGCAGGGACTCTGCTCACACTGCTCTTCCCTTTCCAGCAGACATATCCCTGCTGTGCATGGCTGTCCATTCCCCCCTGCTGATGGGTGACCATTTCTAAATATCCCAAAGAAGCAAGCAAAATAAATAGGCAGTCAACATCCACATCGTGACAAGATGAGACACAAGGTAACGGGCTAGGGATGACAGTGACAAGGTAGGGGAAGGACAGCCCTGCTCAGAGCTGTTCCAAAAAACAACTCTTCCTACTTTTGGAAAACTCCTTCCACAGCCTCGGGCAAGTCCCTGATGCTTTACAGGCTTCAGTTCTACAAAATGGGGAGCATGGTGTTTCCCTATTTCCATGCCTTGCCTGTCTTGTACACCCCTAGAAGCAAAGGCCATTTTTCTTCCCATCTGCACCCAGGTTTTGCAGGGCTGCTGCGGTACCGCTGCCTCGTTAGAGGCTGGACACGCAAGCCCATCATCCCGACAGGAAGCTCAGATCCATGATCTCAGGGGAGCAAGGAGCCAATTCCAGTTCTCCGTTTTGATCTCAGAACAGGCCAGAAGATTCCTGCACACACCCCAGAACTTCAAGCTGAGCTGGAACAGATGTTTTAGAAAGAGACACTCAACCTTGATTTGAAAATCCTACGTGCTGGAGAATCCGCTACGTCTCGAGGTCAGTCATTTCAATGTTAATTACTTCCTCTGTTAACATTTGCATCCTACTTCTAGTCTGCTTTTGTCAGGCTGCCTCTGGCTGGGAACCTGGTCTTTGCTACACTTAAGGGTCCCTTGCTCTCCAACCTCCTACCTGTACAGCTGCTTCTGGACCATGTTACATCCTCACCCCCTCCTAGATAAACTGCATGTAGTGACTTTCCCTCAGCTCTTTCCAGTGGGATGTTTCCAGCCCCTCTGCACTTTGCCTGTACCCTGGAGATCCCAGTGTGGACCCTGCTGCTTCTGCTCCTGGTGAATTCAGAGCTGACCTGTCCTTAGGTGCGCAAATGCCCTGGACATGGGGAGGCAGGAGGTGGTGGCTGGTGTCCAGCTAGGGATCTACCACAACCCAGAGCAGTCACTGCTCTCCCTAAGAGGTCCTTGAAAAAAAATCAAAGGGCTACGATGGCGCTGGAGAAGTTCTCAGGAGAACCTGCAGGTCCACCAGAAGGACCTGCTTTAAGCCCCAAGTGGGCTGCAGGGAGACTTTGGGCTGTATTTAAACAACCCTTGCACTCCATGTCTATAGACCCGATCAGTTCCCTCGGCCCCACACACGCCTGGCCGCAGAACCCAACAACTTTTCTCTCCTTGTGACTTGCTAGCCATGGGAAGGAGGAAGATGGAGCCCTCAAAGTCACTTCCTTCTCCCAGGACGGCAAGGGGGATGCTGAGAGGGGGACGGAGATGCACGTGGGCGTCAGAGAGGAGTTCCTGTCAGTTGCAGATCTGCTGCGGTGTTTCGGCTTGGGAAACGTTTGCCAGGGCTCCTGGGTGGTCACGCTGGCGAGGCAGGAGCTTGGACCCCAAGGAGGAAGCTCCAGGGTTACGCAAGGAGCTCCTGGAGAGGTTCCCACAGCCCAGCGGTGGCTGCAGGGACTGGCCAAGGGGAACTCTCCTCCAGCTCGTGCTCCTGCCCAGGCCAATGGGACAGTCCGATCCAGCAAGCTCCAGGGAGCGGGACTGTCCCCATCTGTGACACTGCTGGAACCCAAAGACCCTGAGACACTTACAGCAGGGTCAGCCTGAAAACTTCCCGCACAGCCTCCCAATGAGGACAGGGGATCCAGGTCATCCTACCTTACGGTGGGATCTTTCGCTGCTTGGTGTTTTGTTTTGAGCCCCTACACACCTAAAACCTGCCCCTTGCTTGGCTGGAGCCATCTGCCAGGGCTCTGAGCGCTAGGAGGGTGCCAAGCACCTTCTTGCTCCAGGGCTCTTTTAGTGCCAGCAATTTTGGGCACACTGGGACACACACTGCAGGCCCCCCGGGAGAGGGGAGGCCAGCGTAGGACATCCCCTCATCCGGCTCCGCGCCTCCGGGATGCGGGTGCCTGGAGCGAGGCCGGGCAGAGCTGGGCCACCCAGCTCCCCGCTCCAAAAGCCTCTGCCCTTCTCTACTGTTTCCTTGGCCTTTCAAACTGCAAGATTAAACACAAGAAAAGAGTCAACCTGCAGAGCGGTTGGCAGGGCCCTTAAACACACACACGGAGCCTGGAGTGAAGCAAGGCCTACAGGAACAAGCAAGGGCAGAAAAACAAGAGTTGAATTCCTTAATCACATCAGGATGTGAGAGGCAGGGGAGGGACGGGGCGCCAATGTCAGCTCTTCCTGTACGTGTGCTGGAGGCTGGAGCTCGGGCCTCTGCCGCAGCGAGCTCCATGGCTATAAACTTGATCCCGGGGCTGAACCCTGACACCCCCTCGCCCACCTCCTCTCCCAGGGCCGCAGCGCTGCACGTTATTAAAGCTCGCTCCCCCCTCCGAGCATTAAAAAGCAGCATCTGGAACTCATAGCGGCGCGCGAGATAGAGGCACATGGCTTGGACTGGCAGGAAAGGGCACGAGCAAAGTACACTCGGGAGACGAGGGCTGTGCACCATTTACCCCCCTCTTCCCCCCCATAAAACGCACACGCAGCCAGGCTGGCTATAAATAGCGGGAGCTGCAGGGCAGGCAGAGGCTGGGCCCCACAGGGGTGATTCTTCCTTCACCGAGGCGCGCTCTTCCCGCACGGTACCTGATCTTCCAGTTGTTTTCCCTCTTGGCTTCCCATTTCCTTTCCCATGGCGTCTGGGACGGGTGCCACTGACACATATTTTCCACCCTTGAATGCCAGCAAAGGCTCTTCTTGTCCACAAAGGGCTTCCAGGAAATACTTCAGAACTGTGACCCTCTTGCAGTCGGCTGCAATAACCTACAGGGTGAGGACGAGGGGGTTGGGGAGAGGGAAAGGAAAACAAAGTCAGTGCAAAAGGGAGGCGGACGGGCAGCAGCCAGAGGGAAACGCGCGGGGCCGTACGGCCTGGCAGCACGCAGACAGCCCGGCCCTGCACCCTCCGCATTCCCCTTGGCTTTCCAACAGGGATGGGAGGGATCTGCCCATGCTTCCTAGCCCGGTGTCCCGAGGGAGAGGGAGGCAGGCGAGGGCAAGGTCAGGCACATCCAGCGCCCATAGCTGCAGTTTTCACGGAGCGGTGCTGCCCTCGCCGTGTCCCCGGGGCCACCCGGCTGCTGGGGTCAGCCTGCCCCTTCCCAGCGCCACCGACACAGGGGAAGTCCTGCCCAAGCGGGAGGCAAATGATGTGGCCGGCCTCGCTGTTTCGTTTCAGCTAAAAAAAGCGGGAAAGCCGGAGGGCTCGGGAGGCCGCGGAGGGATAGGGCAGCTCAGAGCCGGTGCCTGGGGGCGTTTTGCAAAAGCAGAGCACCACGAGGAGCCCGACCGACCGCCCGGGGAGCCGGGAGGGCTGGGACTGATCCGGCCAGCAGGCGACTCAGTAACACGGGTAATTATCCCATTAACGAGGTTCCCAGATGGAGCTTCCAGAGTGTGGGAGCCTGCTGCCCAGGTGGCCCCGGTGTGTGCGGGGCCGGCCTCCACCTGGGCCACAGCGGGACTCCGCTCCGATGCCTCCCCTTGACGGGTACCACCTTGGAAAGTCAGCAAACGGGGCTAAACGTGCTAAAAAGCAGGGTATGAAGTTCACGTTGACGCCTCCGAGGGCTCCGGTTTGGGCCCTGTCTCGTGTGACAGCGGCCTGTCCCCGAGCGGGCCGGTGCCGTGGGGCTGGCAGTGGCCCGTGTCGCGGAAAAAAGCTAATTTTAACCGCCGTGTCTCTGCAGTGCGTGTCAAAAACCTGACCCTCCTGCGACCTCCAACCTCCCACCCCAGCTACTGCCTGCACGAGGCACCCTTACATAAGAGGAGCCGGATTCGCCTCCGCCGGTGCCTCCCGGAGCCGGGCGACCGGCACGCGGAGGGGAAGGGAAAACCAGCTCCTACCTCCCGCCGGGAGGCCGGTGCTGCGGGCGAGAGGCAGCGCGGGCCGGGTGGCTGCCATCGGCGAGGGATGCCGGGAGCGAGGGAGCTGGATGCTCCGGGAATCCGTGTGGGACGGAGCTGGGGACGCAGCGAGGGGAACAGCAGCCCAGGGGGAGGTTGGGCTGCCGGGAACTTTCCTCGTTCCCGGGGGTTTCGGCCCTCGCTTGGAGCCAGGCTACGGCGCAGAGCCTGCGCTTGCGGGGACCCCAGGCTGTGTGGCTGCAGCCTCGTATCTGCCAAAGAGATCGGCTCTCCTTCCTGACACCATTCCCAAGGGATTTCTCGGGGCACCTCTAGCCCTAAACGCAGCTGCCTCTAGCTCAGGACCCCGGTGTTTTCGCTGTGTGTGCATGAAGGGCAACGCAGCGGTGTCTGCCCAGCAAATACTTAAATCTTGACGACTGGAGACTCCTGGCTTGGGACCGATCAAACGTACTGCAGAAGGGCTCCTTTCCCCCAGCTGCCTTGGGGATAAGGCCAGGAAGGTTCCCTCCCTTCTCCCATGCCAAAGAACCAGCTAGGAAACAAGAGATCCCCGGCCAAGCCAGCGCAGCCTGGTGCTGCCTTCGGCTCATCTGCTCGGGGGGAAAGAGCCCAGCCGAAGGCCCATGACATAATGCCACAGTAACTTGTCACCTG